CAAGCTGTTAATATAATTGTGCAGATAGGTGGGTGAAGCTTTGGAACAAAGTTTCAGAAAAACAAATGTGGTAAAGAGGAATAGGGACAGTGAGTACTCAGTCTTTTCCACTGCAGGAAATCCAATATTATCATGGTTTAGGCAGTTTGCAGAGGGCTGGTAGCCTGGTTCATGCTGCCACCCACTGCAAGATTTGACAGAAGAAGCTTTTCATTTGAGTAAGCAGACACTGCCCTAAAATGGGATCCATTGTCTTGAAACCTTAGTGCAGCACATCCTCTGTTCTTCTAGCGGGAGCTGTACGGTCAGATCATCAAGTCCCTGCTAGGCAAATGCTTGAGGGCTGGAACCCTGCTTTAGCACGACAAAAAATCGCAGTGGGATAGCTGCAGCTCTCACTGCTGAAAGGTTTCATGCATTTTTTTTATAGTTTTTTGTTTTTGTTTTTGTTTTTTTGAGGCATGAGCATTAAAATCTCCATTTTGGTCCTTCAGCCTCTTGTATTGCTCTGCCCATCCCATTGCTCTGCTTGCCACGGTGCATTTATGCAGGCTACAGAAGGGAGAGGTCTGGTCCCATTGTGCTCTCCCAGCCCTTTTCACAGTTGTCTTCAGCCTGTGCAGCCACACTTGCATGACAGAGACAGCTGAGACACGTGGATAAGGATTGAGATCAGGGAACAGCAGAAAGTGCTGATAAGATGAACAAATGCTAAAGGATGAGATGAGGAGGCTGAGGAAAGGGAGAAGGCAGGAAGAAGCCATCAGCATGCAGCACTGCTGGGGAGCACCGGGAGCCTGAAATGCAGGCCCTGAGTACAGATTAAACAGCTGCCTCGAGCAGCTTGGAGCTGGCTCTACTGTAAGAGCTCCATGAGGCATGCATAGTTAGAAATTAAAGGTGTTTGCATAGCGTTGACTCTCCCCATGCAAACGTGATGAACAATGCAAATAGAAGCGTGAGCAACAAGGAAGAAGTAGTTTAATGGCTTTGGGGATTAGCAGTGGTATTTAGAGCCTTTCACCTCTTTGTTCCTAACATAAATCTAAACACAGATTGATGATTTTAGCCATCTGGCTTGCACTTGCTTGTATGCAGTGTCTAGTGAGACAGAGAAGGAACCTGACCAGCAAGGCAAAGGAAAAATACGTATATGACAGAAGGCGGCATTTCTTTCTCCTGTGCCAGTAGGAGCTGGTACAGTGCAATCATTCTGTCTCACCAAGTTCAGCAGGTAACAAGGGAGAGGGGAATGAAGAGGTAACTGACATCTCTTGATACATGAATATACCACGAAGCCTGTAATTTATACAAATGTATACATACCAAGCAAATTGCACTCAAATGCAGAGCTCTCTGATCTTTTGAGATATAGTTAACCCATGTAATGTGAGAGTTAGAGGGCCAGTTTCCATCACAGGTTGATTCTGAATTGTAAATTATTTTAACTGACTGGAGACTGTTCTCCCGTATATCACCTACCTAATACCTTGATTTTATGAACCATAGCTGAACTAGTAGGTGGAAAACTTTGTGCCTTCAAATGTATGAAATGTTTTGGATTAGATGTCTTCCTTGTCTCCCAAGCCTTCTGAATACTGATATGAGTTTTCTTGCTGATGGGTTGACTCATGCAGAGAGTCAGTGCCAGTTTTCCTCTTGCTTCAGGAAGAGATCTTGAAAGATTTGTCTTTTTTTTTTTTCCCCTAGAAAAATATTCTTGGTAGAGTTCCCCAAAATAGAGGGTTTTAATTGGCAAAGCCATGTGAAAGGCCACTGCTCTACTCTGCCAAACATAAGAGTAACCAAGAATGACCACATGCTTGCGAGACCAAGTGCAACAATCCCAGGCAATATGTGAGGCAGAGTGGCTGGAAGACTGTGTAGAGGAAATAGATCTGGGAGTATTGGTTGATGCTCAGAAGGCCAGTGGCATCCTGGCTTGTATCAGAAATAGTTGCCAGCATGAGCAAGAAAGTGATCATCCTCCTGTAGTCAGCACTTGTGAGGCTGCACCTTGAGTACTGTGTTCAGTTTTGGGCCCCTCACTGCAAGAAAGGCACTGAGGGCCTGGAGCGTGTTCAGAATAGGGCAGCAGAGCTGTGAGGGGTCTGGAGCACAAGTGTGATGGGGGGCAGCTGAGGGAACTGGGGATGGTCAGTCTGGAGAAGAGGAAGCTGAGGAGAGACCTCATTGTTCTCTACAATGGCCTGAAGGGAGTTGTAGTGAGGGAGGTGAGGGTTGGCATCTTTATCCTATGTAACTAGAAGTAAGATGAGAGGAAGTGGCCTTGAGTTTCTCCAGGAGAGATTCAGTTTGGATGTTAGGAAATAATTTTCTCCGAGAGTGGTCGTGTGCTGGAATGGACTGCCCAGGGAGGTGGGGAACTCACTTGTCCCTACAGATGTACAATAAATGTTTAGATGTTGTAGTGAGGGACGTGGTTTAGTGGGAAATATTGGTGATAGGTGGACAGTTGGACTGAAGAATTTTAGAGGTCTTTTCAAACCCTGATGAGTCTGTGCACACACTGCAGCATGTTTTCCTATTCAGTTAACTCTTTTAAGAGTAAGAGTTGCAGCAAGCTCACATCTGGGCTTTCAAATGTGAGCTTGGGCAAGAAATTTGGCCACGTTTCTTCCAGGCAATGATTACTGGCATCAGAGACTGACTCTTGGGCTCTTCTGTGATTTTACTCAATTTTGTTTTGGGACTGATAGACTGGTTTGCTTTGGTTTAATATATGCATCACTATAGAAAGCTTATTCTACAAGGGGTAAAAATATGCATAGGGAGCAAGAAAAATAAACCTTAGTATTACAGATCTAATTTATAGCAATCTTGGCACTCATTTAGTCCTATATTCATATTTATAATAGCTCTGGTATAAAACAAAACAAAACAAAACCAAACCAAAAAACTTTTATTTGCTTTCATTTCTTTAAAACCCAGTAACTGCCTGTAATAACATACTATTGGGAGAAAAGCGAAAGATTTTTGGATAAAGATTCCTAAAACAATGTTTTCCACCCAAAATAATTGGTTTTGGCATAGAGTTCTGACAGCTAAATGTGGTGTTTATCACTTTAGCTAGCCACACCAAGGTCAGTGAAAGAGATCGCTTTATATATGACAGAGAAGCACTTCCACCAGATGCATTAGTATTTTAAGAATAAGAATTATAGACACATGAAGTGACTGGGGAGTGCTGTGTGCCAAAAGGAAACTCAGATTCAGATACAGGTTGGAGTAGAATTTTCAAAGGCACCACAATGACCTGGAGGTCATGTCACAACATGGGCAGGAGCCCACCTCCCATTTTTGGAAGTGATGTAAAGACTGCATTGCGTTTCAGCAAGATTTAGGTTCCTTTTCCCAGAGAGAAAAAAAGAAAAAAAACACCCAAAAAGCAGCACTTAGTTCACAATTAGTTCACAAAATCAGTCTTTGACTTCTCATAATTATATTGCATAATGATTACTACTTAATAACACCAAATTTCTTGTCTGTGTCCATTATCACCAACTTAGAAGCTATTTCTGTTGCTCAGGGAATTTCATATTCCAAGTCACTTAGAGAACTATAATTCAGACCTTCAACAGAAGAACGGGTGATATGTGTGTGTTAGGATGTTATATTACAATGATTTAGTGTCGTGTCTTAGATTAATTTGAAATTTTATCCTGCTGGCTTCATTATAAACATTTCCATGGGAAGAATATGTTATTGGAAATGGATTAATGAATAAGCTTTGTATTAACCAAATGCTTTCTGAGTGGTTTGTTGAAAAATGTCAGGACTGTTTCAGAATCCTGGCTCTATTTGAGTGAATGGCAGGATTCCCACTGGCTTCCTTCAACACTTCTCTCTTCTTGATCGCAAAGACTACTTGTCAGAGCTCCTTACAGTTTCTGTGTACAGATAGGGGTCAGTGTGCCTTTTTGAACTCCAAAGCAATTGTTTTTAGAGTCAGGAGGAAGGAGGTAAAGCATGTGGCGACTTTGTTCAGTCCCAATCCTTTGTGCCAGTTTGAAGTGTGCTCAAGAAAAACGCAACTTGTCTTTTAGTGTCTTCTGGAAGTCCTGCCATGCATGCAGAGCAGGTGTGACTGCAATGGAAGGTGGTGAGGGATGGATATAGATCCATCTAGCGTAGATTTACAAGCCCCCATGAAAAGTTTCATGCTCATGATTTTATTTTATGTTTTATGTTTTGATTTAAGCAGAACTGCCAGTGCAGGCCTCTGTTATTTACTAATTGTTCTGTGCGTAAAATGTTTCAAGCTCCAAATTTTGATGAAAGCAGGTCTTCAGTCCTCATGGCATGCGTTACAGTATTTGAATCTCAGTGGGGCTTGTGGTGTAAAGATCCAATTCTGTAAATTAGGACCTAAATAATACTGCTAATTTCCATTGCCATTGATCATAGTACTGCAGAACTCCTTGGGGTTCAAATGGCGTAATAACACGTACATGCAGACCTTTGAAAGATGCTATGCTTTAGGCAGAAATTGTAGGCTTGCAGAATTTGCACTTGCCCAAATCTGTTTCAGAGGGTATAAATACAGTCCACAGACTAAGGAGCTTAGTTGAGAAACCTCTGTGGTCACTGGAGTTAGATGATTAAGGCTCTGGAATGTTGTTTTACTCAGATATTAACTAAGGCAAATCTTTTTTGTTCTCTCCCACTGCTCTTCCCCAAAAAGGTCTCATGTTATGAAACTGCTTCATTACCAAAATGT